GCATCATCTAGTTAAAGATAGATGCTCATAAACCCCCAAACTGGCCTCCCTCTTCACAATTTAGCATTCTTGTATTTTTTCTAAGTAGCTTGGCCATAATATCACTTTCTTTAGCAGCATTCTAACTTCTAAGAAGCTTAATAGGCAAGGAGATTGTGGGGTCTTTGACTTTCTCTGAGCCTCAGCCCTAAGTGGTTTATTCTATTAAGCTGATTCTTGGTGGTGGATAGAGCTTTGCTGGATAAGAAGTTGGGGGCAGGGGTGGGGCGTTGCATGTAGAGGAATAGGGTACGTTCACTCCCTCTGCCACTCTGCCCCACCCTCCAACCCATTCCTGCCCTGTGATTCTGTTTTTAGAGCTCTGGAATGAAGGGAGTGGTGATGGAGCTAAAGTAAAGAACTTTCCTTAGAGGACTTAAGAAGTTGACTTTTTTAAAAAAAATGTCCTGTTGGGAGGGTAAGCTATATGATCATCCTACTTATAACCCAAGCCTTAACCATGGTGGCATCATACATTTAATTTGCAAATAAGGTAGAAAGTGAAAATTGGCTTAACAGAAGAGTCATTTGGTCGCAAAAGAAGAGATCACTAATATTTATTACGATGGAAAGAAACTGTCTAAACAGAAGTACAAAGTCCTAGGGGACGCTGCTTGTTTCTAGAGAGCGATAAAGGATGACAGATCCCGTTGAGCCACAGGGGACAGATGGCTCCCACTGGGATCTCCAGGCTCCGCCTCCAGGCCCCGGGGCCACCATGGGTGCGTCTGCAATGCTGGAGCGGGTAATTTCCTGGGATTTAATTCAACCTGAAGCTCGATAGGCCTTTTTTATTTTTTAAATATATTTTTTATTGATTTCAGAGAGAGAGAGGGAGAGGGAGAGGGAGAGAGAGGGAGAAAGAGAGAGAGAGAAAGAAACATCAATGATGAGAGAGAATCATAGATCGGCTGCCACCTGCACACCCCACACTGGAGATGGAGCCCCCAGCCCAGGCCTGTGCCCTGACCGGGAATCGAACTGTGACCACCTGGTTCATAGGTCAATGCTCAACCACTGAGCCACACTGGTGGGACTCGCTAGGCCTCCTTTAGATACACTTCTAAACTCTTCTAAGAAATATCGGATAAAAAAACACTGTGGATCGAAACCAAACAAAACATAGTATTTCTGTAAAACAACACATGTTAGGCTGTGAGGAGGAAGGGAGTGGGTGGGTCACTAACCAGAAGGCTCACTGTGCAGCCGATCTTCTTGCCGTCCACCTCGCCCACCTTCATGCAGTCCCTGAAAACAGAGAACAACAGTCAGAACCCAGAGCTTCCTTCCCGGATGCACACACACTGATCTTTCAGGGAAGTAAGAGGCAGAAGGCTCAGGGACTGCAGCAACTGCCCCCAGGCAACTGCCCCAGGCTGCAGGATCTCAGGTGAGGGGTGACAGACTCCTGAGCCTCCAGTGGGCAGCCCTCCCTCTCAGTGGGCGGGGCCTCGGGAGCGGGGCGAAGGTGTGGTATTATACGCCTCTAATGTGGGTGGAAAGGGGCGGGTAAGCCCGGCCATCAACAATGAGAATGAAGGTTCATTCTTGAAATAAAACAAAAACACCATGCATTCAAGTGGAGCAAACCGCTTGACCAGTTTAGATCATTTAAAAGTTAAAAATAAAACGCTGTCTATGGAAGGAGCATGGTTGTCTAATTCTCCAACACTCCATCTTCACCCCGAAATGGATGGATCTGCTTACTGGCTCTAATGGGCGAGTCCAGATAAAAACGAACAAAACCAAAACCCCTTTACTAACGGGACTCTGAGAACCCTCTCCATCCACTGAGACTTGGAAAGAATTGCCGACCAAAACAAAACAGAAAGAGGAGCGACACAGAAACGTCCTGAGCCAGCAGTGCACAGCGTTATCTCAGGCCTCAGGTTCACGGCCGTGGATCAGATCTCCGGGGGTGGAGAGGGGGGTGGGGGGAGCTCAGGTGTATGGGGACTGTCCGACTCTGAGTCCCTAACCAGGGCGCAGCACACCTGGGAAACGGCACCCAACTCACCTGTAATCCAACAACCTCTCCATCAGGCGCGTCACCGTGGCGATCAAGGAGACCCCACTCTCCCTCCATGTTTCCCGCTCGATTTTCTTCAGCAGACTGGAAAAGAGAGGACCCCGGGCATTTTCAACATTTATTTTTATCGGTCACCATGACGACCATTTTACTTTCATCAGCACCTTAAATGCCTTAGCAACCACAGCAACATCTCACAAGGACCACAATTTGCAAACAATGTCTTACCTAGGATAGGGACCAAAGAGTGGAATTCTAATCCCGGAAGCATTGACAAAGCAAATGGATGTTTAGATTCTCCGAGTCGTGAAATACGAACCCGTGCACAGCATCACAGTTTCACACAGGCAAGCCCCGAGCAGCTCACACACCCTTTCTCCCAGCTTCTCCCTCCCGGGAGCAGGCTCGCACCTCCCCACAGCCCAGGACAGTGTGGCCAGCGGAGACAGCACACCTGCGAGTGCACTGTCAGGTCAGCCCTTGCTGTATTCCCGGGAAACCGGCTCCCTACCTCTCCGTGGAGCGCATCCTCATCCGAGCAATTCTACCGCAGTGCAATGCCCCAGGAAAACCCTTGCACAGACGGAGTGACGTGTGGCGTTTTTTTCCTTTCACTTAGCATTTGCCCACTCAATACATATTGTACTGTCTGGTGCATGCAGGCAACAGCTTCATACATGGCGTCATTAATCACAGGGGACTTTCTATGGGGTGGTTACAGTGGGCAGGTGACAGGTACCAGAGCACTGCCTCCTGCCTTCTCCCCTAGCCTCAAGCACCTTGGGGCAGAGGCGCTATCTAAACACAACATAATAAGTCACAGCAATTAGCACCTATTTTACTCATTCCCGCTTCTCCTAGGGCAGCGGTTCTCAACCTGTGGGTCGCGACCCCTTTGGCGGTTGAACGACCCTTTCACAGGGGTCGCCTAAGACCGTCCTGCATATCAGATATTTACATGACGATTCATAACAGTAGCAACATGACAGTTATGAAGTAGCAAAGAAAATAATTTTATGGTTGGGTCACAACATGAGGAACTGTATTTAAAGGGCCAGAAGGTTGAGAACCACTGTCCTAGGGTGAAGCAGACACTGGCAGAGCCTGTAGGGCTGAATCTGTCCCCGTGGTAAAAGGTGGACCTTGAGCAGGACCTGTGAAGACGCCTCCCTGCCCCTCTGGATGGAATAATCCTCATTTCTGTCTAAAATCCTGTGTCTCATCCTGGTTTCAGAAATAACCTAGAAAACACTTCTTACAAGTACCACCTAAGCCTGCTGTCTATTGTGCTTAGTGGAAAAAGAAGCAGGAAAGAAAAAAGCTATTTTGGGGGGGTCTGTGGCTATGGTCTCTCCCTTCTCCCCACTTCCAGCTATTGCCTCCCCGGGCCCAGCCTCTGTCTTGTCTCCGAATCTGTTGCCTACACCTTCCTGATCAGTTTGGTTTTCAGGTTTATTCTGAGCTGTTTCCTAGATTGTGACTGGGGGGGGGGGGGGGAGGGGGAAGCATATGAAAGGACGGACTTGCCCTGACTGATCCCTCAGTTTCACTAAAATGTGTTTTCTTTACCGAGCCGGTGTGGCTCAGTGGTTGAGTGTCAACCTATGAACCAGGAGGTCACAGTTCGATTCTCGGTCAGGGCACATATCCAGGTTGCGGGCTTGATCCCCAGTGTGGGGTATAGGAGGCAGCCGATCAATGATTCTCTCCCATCTATCTTTCTCTCCCTCTCCCTTCCTCTCTGAAATCAATAAAAACCTTTTTTTTTTTAAAAAAGTGTTTTCTTGTAAAAACAAAAACAACCCCTAAATAGCACTATTTCAGGCTTCAATGCCAAAGTGGAAGTGAGCCGAGTGCTGACATAGGCACTGCCTGCCCACGCCCTGCGGGTGCGGCAGCAGCCTCCCCGGTGCCAGCCCACACCTCACAGACTCCAGGGGCCGGGAGACAAAGGGCTCAGGTAAGCGAGCTAAAAATACGGGAGATTTCTCTCCCTTTGCACAGCCTCCCGGAGCAGTAAGACATCAGAGCTACACGCCCTCCTGCGAGAAGAGGCAGAGCTCTGCAGAGCACGCCTCCTCGAAGAGCCCAGCACCCAAAGGCGGGGGCTGAGACTAGAACCCAACTTATGGCCTTTGGCAGCCAGGCTGGTTCTTGGTGTCCAAGTTCCCCCTGCGATTTTACCTGACAGGAGACTCAGGGGAAGAGGAGGCAATTTAAAAAAAATATATATTTCTATTGATTTCAGAGAGGAAGGGAGAGGGAGGGAGAGGTCTATGCTCAACCACTGAGCCACTCGGCTGGGCAAGAGGAGCCATCTCACCTGGTCCACAGTCATGCCCGTGCACCGTGCTGAGGACACAGAGACAAGTCTAAGGACAGCACAGGTGACGTGTTATTGCCAACAGACAAGCAATGAGACTCCACAGTGTGGGACTGCAGAACTCCACGACCCTGCGGGAGGGCTCCGTGCTCAGCAGCTTGGACCCATGAAGGAACATTGGGGGAGGCCCTGGCCCCCCATCTCCCGCTCTGTCGGAACAGGACTGTGCTGAGACCATCACTCGTACCTTAAACACCTGTGCCTGCGCCTGCTCTTCATCCGCAGAAAAGGGTCACACACCTGAAGTGTGTGTAAGAGCTAATCCTGTCTGCAAACTACAACTTGGTGTGTGAGCACCAATACAGGTCTCTGACTGCATTATCCGGAGCAGCGTACGATAAAGCAGCGACTGCGGGAAAAGCTGAGATGGGAGTTACACCTTCTGGAAAGCTCCCCGAGGACCCCCAAGGCTGGGAGCACCCTGTGTGTTCCCACAGCACACCCACCGTGTCCCAGCCCCAGGCGAGTTCTGGCCCAGGAGGTGCTCAATCAGGCGCCATGACGCCTAAGGGCAGCTAGGGGGCCTCGCGTGGTTCTGATGCCCTGTTCTGACCCATCCCCTGGCGTCTATGACCCGAAATGTCAGCATCGTTAAGAGTAACAAATCCTGACTCTTATTTCAGGGAGGTGCAGTCTGGGTAAATAAAGATGCTGCTGGGATTAGAGAAAGATGACGGGTTCCTGGGAAGGTGTCATACAAATGCAAAGTCTCGTTTTAATGCCACTTTAGCAAGTGCTGCCTTTTCAGAAGGCAGTTGGTTACCTGCCTTCAGCTTCTGAACTTTTTAAAAAATGTATTTTTATTGATTTCAGAGGGAGGGAGGGAACGAGGGAGGGAGGAGAAGAGAGAGAGAAACATCAACTAATTGGCTGCCTCCTGCCCCCTACCAGGGATCAAGCCTGCAACCCTGACATGTGCCCTGATCTGGGAATCGAACCCAGTGACCTCCTGGTTCATAGGTCAATGCTCAACCACTGAGGCACACCTGTCGGCAGTTTCTGAACAAATTTTAAGAAGTCTTAGACATGAATTACAGAGAACAGATGAGATCATCCCATGACAACGTGTGTTCCTACTTCATAATGTGCGCAGTGACTCACTGTGACTACACTAATTCATTGTGATTTCTATGACCAAAAAGTGCATATTATTGTTACCCAAAATATAATTACATTTTCACTCTCTCTTCTGAGCCCAGGTAGTAATGATATGTAATTATCACTTTAGAATTTTATTTATTCCCAATATGCTTATCACAAAAGCACAAAAGAAAAATATTTATGGTAACGTTTCCAGTAATGTGTTAAAAGTCAACAAAAGAATAAAAATTTCCACTGAATGGATCAGGAACTTGTAACAGTCCTAATTACCGATGCTTAATATTTTAATTATTGGTTTCATTTCTATGCCAGGGCATATCTGCTATTTCAAAATCACATTTATACATAAGCAACCCAAAAGGCCACTATCAGGCCTTTACTAAAGTCAGGGAGAAGCACCTTAGAGCCAGGTGCATATTTATTACTCGTGCGAATTTCTTATAAAAATTAATCACAAAGCCCAAGGGGCTCATCACACTGAGTGCTTCCTCATTTTAGTGCTTTATTCAAACCAAGGACTCGTCACCAAAGCGAGAGCCGTGCTCAAAAGCAATTTGTGCTGTTGGACGAGGTTTTAATCAGCTCTGCGCTCCACTCCAGCTGTCAGCAGGCCCACACTCGGTGCCCGGGAGTGGAGGCGGGCGTGGGGAGGAATTACTGCAAGTGCCAGTGTAATGACAGCGTCGGAGGGAAACGGTGCTGTTCGGGACCCAGGACAAAGAGCGCGCTTTGTCACCACCATCCCACCCCACCGCCACCCCAGGAACCGGCACACCCTTTCTCCACTTGTCCTCTCAACATAATTTTTTTAAAAGCTCGGAGAATGATTCTGAATCAGGCAAGTTGAAATCTATCAGTCACTAATGATAGTTTTCAAACCTCTGTATTTTCCTTTCCTTTCTTTCTTTTTTTTTTTTTGTTTTGTTAATCCTCACCCAAGGATATTTTTCCATTGATTTTTAGACAGAGTTGAAAAGGGAAAGACAGAAACGTCAATGTGAAAGAAACACACTGATTGGTGGCCTCCTGCATGAGTTCTAACCAAGGCCCAGGCTGGGGAGGAACCTGCAACCAAGGTACGTGCCCTTGACCAGAACCAAACCCAGGACGCTTCAGTCTACAGGCCGACGCTCTATCCATTGAACCACACCAGCCAGGGCTCCTCTATACTAGTATGTTCATACATCGGGACTCTACATCTGGGAGCAAGACATGAACGACAGAATGTATATCTGGCTCTCAGTATTAAAGCATGATGCTTCCTTTTAGGGGATACCTACACACTCAGGAGTACCCTAGGTTTGAAAAGGACTAAGACCCGTAGGAAGCTGGAGAGAAAACCAGGGTCCGAGTTAAATTCCTAAACACGCTTAGGTGTCCTCTCGGGCCCCTCACTGTGGAGGAGGACCTGGCCAGCCGTTCATCCGGGGACTGTGCTCACGTCTATTGAGGACAACCTCAGAGCCCCTCTATCCTCCGTGTGAATCCCCGTTGAGAACCTACTAGAAAGGACTTGCTTCTGTGACGTTCTGATGGGAAACACTTAGGAAGCAGCTGGCAATGCTGAGGGAGCCCTCAGCACGCAGAAGGGATGGAGCCTGGGAACCGGTGAAGGTGCACATCTCAGCAGCGGAGCAGCAGGGGCTGCGGCTTTGGGGAGCGCTGAGCCCCAACAATAATCACACCACTTTGGGGGGCTCCTCCACTCTTAACCCTATTTAAACACATTACCCTCCAGCCCTGGTTCTCACGTTATTAGGCAGGAAAAGAGCGAGATCTGTTGTAGAACACGTGACCTGAGCTAGTTAGAGATTAAAATGAGACGACATGTTCAATCAATGATATAAAACCCATCATCCAGAGTCAGGCCACGACCTGAGTTTCTCCCGCCACACCGGCCGGGCACACCCGTGTGGCCACGCTGTCTGCGGCTCTCGGCTGCCTAAGGTGACACGTGATCCCCGGGCAGGACCAGTGGAGACGAACCATTACTCACATACTGTTGAAGAGCTCCCGGTAGGTTTCGTCCCCTTTGCCTTCTGACATCAGGCTATCCAGTTTGTCGATGAGCTTGGCTTCCACCTGCAACACACCCAACAGTGCTCTCTCTCTGCTCCCCTGGGCAAGGGGCGTTTCTAGGCAAATGGAAACAAAAGGTATGTGCCCAAGAGGAAAAGTAATGGTCCGATCGGATTGTGTGAAGTGACGAGATCGGTTGGGTTAAGAGGAGACAGAACCCTAAGGGGCTCATTCAGATGGAGCATCGGGACTTACACGCCCCGCGGGGCTGCTCTGGTTGCTGCCAGAACCTCTCCATGTCGAGTCCAACACAAATACTTGCAGCCCAGCTTCAACATTGGAGCCCTTTTCTAGGAGCTATAAACACTGGCAAGGCTCATTTCTTTTCTCCCTTTTTAAAAAAAATCACTATACATATATAGAAACATTCATTTATATCTTTGTGTTTTCTATCTATTTTCTTTCTCAAAACAGGATGAGGTTGCATGAATCTTTGCTGAAAGTGAGAAGCTGGCCCATCCACGGACAGATGGCAGATCCTATAGAAATGCTCCAAGTCAGCACTAAGGAGAGAGAGAGAGAGAGAGAGAGAGAGAGAGAGAGAAAGAGAGAACATATTTCCTGAAAACTGTGGTCCAAACCCTCCTATGGTCCAGCATGGAAACCCTGCAAGGCTGCCACCGGGAAGGCGGACGGTGCCCCCAGCCAGCAGGAGACAGAAGATGAAACACCCTGGCTGCCGGGGACGGAAACAGTGGAGCTGGAGGATGCTGTCTGACTGGGTGGCAGGTCTGAGCCCAATGGATCCTCTGAATCACATTGAATCAGGGGATAAAGGCAAAAGGGCCTAAGAGTGGGTCCCCCAACACGATTTTTAAATAGCTTCTCATTCACCTATTCGCTTCCTTGAAAATAAATGCAGATAGTGATACAGGTGAGAGGCCATGCTTTTGGGGACAGGGTGGTTCGACAGAAGCTCTCAGCTTGCTGGTGGAGCTGACGGAGGTTTTTGTCGGGTTTGAGAAAGGCATGAAGCGAGGACAAGTCCTCCCATCGGTAAGTGTATACAGGTGTGGACAGGTGAGTGTGGACAGGTGAGTACAGTGACTTTGTGAACAGGAAGCAGGCCCAGTATCTGCAACTTGAGGGCAGAAGCAGCTGGTTTCTCATGCAATCTGCTTCTGGAATAAGAACCTGCATCTTTGCAAAAACGGGACCAGACCTCTGGGAACCTACGTCTCTTCGGAAGAGCCTTTGCAAGAATTTCCACCGCTTTCCCCTTTCAAAGAATTCTCAATGCTTTGAGCAAAGAGCAATAACGCACACTGTGCATCAGATGCTCAAAGCTAAGCCGTTCCCCAAATACACCATGCAGACCGCTGTGAGCACAATGGTTTTAAGATTCATTAACCTTCTGATTCGCCCACGCTGTGTCCAACTGAGAGCAAAGAAAGTCCCTGCCTGTCCTTAAACACAGACCTGGCAAATCACAGAATTTTTTAGCTGAAAGGGTACGAAA